GCAGCTGCCCACCCATCCTTTACCGCCCCAATCCCAATAATACGTAAAAGCTCCTGTTAAAAAATTTTTTTTCTTATGCTAATAAAGGTATACCACCGAGTGTGCTAAAACTAGCAGCATCCGAGCAGAAAAGTGAAAATAGGAAGCCTACAGGAATGATCTAAATGCCTACTTGAAGAAACAAAGCAGCAGACAGGACCCTTTGCCCTCTCATTCTGTTTGTAAGGAAGCTGAATTAAACAGTCAGATTTACCACTTTAACAAAAAATTTAAAGCTTCCCAAGACACCAGAATAAAACACAATCTTTTCAGTCAAAGGGCACAGAGAGGCCTGTTCCAGGTCCTGGAGTTGAATGAGTTCAAAGATTGGCAATAAAGGAAAAAAGAAAGCATTAGGGATGTGATGGGAACAAGGTTTGGAGTTTATCGAACAGTTACACCAAGTTTCTCCAGCACACGGACACCCTTTTCTTGGTATTCTTGTCGGGTCATCCAGAAGTTGTCTTTGTCTTTCATGATATCTGCTAGAACCGCACCACCCAGGAATACCATGTGCTTTCTACGGGGTGGGTCTTCGATGCGAATCTTAAATTTCTGAAGGAGAAAAAGATATAAAATGTCACATGTGCATAGTAGTTTCTGCTTTATAAAAAAATGACTTGTTTGTATGTTCTCTTGAATTCTCCCCCAAAGCCCTGTGATTTAAGTAGGACAGCAGGATTTGGTATCTAAGGTACAGAGACATTCTGTAATTTGCCCAAAGTTCATAGCGAGGCTATCACACATCCATCCCCAGTGTGCTCAGCACATGCCTGATTTACACCTGTTCCCCCATCATTATTAGTACCCAACACTGCTATGACTGCAGTCCCAAGCAACACAGTAAAATTTAAGTTCTTATAAGCAAAGCTCACTTTGTACTATATCAATTTCAAGTGAACTAGTCTCAAAATCAAAAAGACCAAATATCATCAAAATAAATCATGGAAATACTGAAAAAAGTGAACACAATAACCAAAATGAAAGACAAGTGGGAAAAGTTTTATGCTCTCTAGCCAGCATTGTCTAATAATCTGTATGGTCAGTCAACACCTGAAAGAGAAACCTTAAAATGATGTAGTAGTTTTATTTACAGTGTCAAAAATCCTGCAAAGAGATGCAAAGTAACTGTCATACTAAACTGTCTTTATGTCACACTATAGGATCTGATAATACAGGACATAAAAAGACACTAGTAACTTACTAATCAATTCTGAGGTTAACATACTATTTTAATTTTCTGAATTACTGTTTTGCTCTTAGGCTGGGGCCAGGTAAACTTATTCTGTAAAGGGCCAGATAGTAAATACTTAGGACTTTGCAGGTCTCTCTGATAGCTACAGACAACATGTGACAAGACAACATGTAAAAGAATGGTCCTCGCTGTGTTCCAATAAAACTATACTTATAAAACAGCCAGCTTGGGCACAGGTCTGCCATTTGGCCACTGTGCTCTAAGTGAGGCCTGGCCAGCCCCTGAAGACATCGCTGCCCTTGGAGCTTTCTTGGCTGGCTTTTGTTTCTCTCTCTCACAGTACCTTCCTAACCCTGGAGGTTTGGTAACAGGAATTCTTAGTCTTCACTGCTGCTTCTCTCTCCTTTTTCATAACTCCACAGCCCCTCTACAACTCCTATCAGGCTATTCCATCCTCTACTCTCTGCCCAAGTCACCTATAGATCCTGAGGTTATTCTCATACCTGCTTTGTTGCATGTGTGTGTGTGCTCTCTCCATCATTTCCTGACATTATCCTTAGTGACTCTGTCCTCTCTGTCTCACTTGGCAAAACTCCAACTCAGGTGATCAACACTCTATTTGCATGTGCCCTCAAAGCAACTGAACACTAGAGCAGAGAAACTTAGCATCTTACTTTATCACCTCAATTGAGCCCTTCAGTGCTACCTGGCAATCCCACGGTCTCTGCTCTTTCTTCCACTCTCCAACACAACCATTTCCCTCCTCTATTTTATAAGCTTCTACCATCTCCTCTCTCCCCTTAAAATGCATCGTTCTACATCCACCTTTCTTCTCCCTCACCTCCAACAGTCTATTCACCACACCAGACTTAATGATCCTTTAAAAACAAGTCAGATCCTGTCATTTGTCTGCTCAAAATCCTTGCAAGGGCTTTCCGTTTCACTAGAAGTGAAGCCAAACTCTTTACTGTGTCTGAACAAGACCTGCGCCCGCCATTCTGACCTCCCTTCCCAGCCTTCTCCCTCGACTGCTCACTGCTCCAACTGCACCTGGGCTCCCAGCAACTCTGGGCCTTTATATTTGCTGTTCCTGCCTAGAAGGTTCTTCCTCCAGTCACACGGCTAGCTCACTCCCTCTCTCTCCCCCTTACTCCACTCAAGTCTCTGCTCAAAAGTTTTCTCATCAGAGAGGCCTTCCCTGTGACAGGCCATGAAGGAGCCCAGTACTTCCCCAACCACCACCACCTTCTACCCTACCTCACTTTACCTCTCTTCACGGTGCTTATTACTACTGACAAAGTATCCTTCATAACTAAAAGCAGGGTTTAGTTTCTGTTCACTTCTGTTTTGTTTGTCCCGGCACCTAGACCAGCGTTTGGCACCCAGGAGTTCAAGAAATATCTGAGTAAATAAATGACCACCTGAAACTGATTTTAAATATATGTATAACTCAATAAAAATCAAACGAGTCAAGTACTTAGACAACATGCTTCCTTTTCAGTGTTAATTTATTTAATGTATGTGTCTATACTCAATTATATTTCAACAATTTAAGTCACACATGAGATGTAACATTAATGTCTCTAATATGTTCAGTCCTCTGTAATATGTTATCTCATTATCAAAACAGTTGATCAAAGTCAGTGAGAAGAAGCTCAGAGATTAATTCAGAATTAAATGACTCTTGGTTGAATGCATATAGTACATGTCACATAGTCCAGTTTGTAGGAGAAAAAATTCATGTCAAACAACCATCAACTACTACATGCTAGCTTAAAATTTTCTTTCAATTTTACACGTCAACAACTATCAATTAAAGTCTTTTCAAAAGTTATGATAGTTAACGGGGATGCAAAAGAATTAGAGACATGATGTTTTACAATTTGATTGGAGAGATAAGACATGTGCAAAACACAGTCAAAAAAAGAATCTAGGATCAGAAACATGAGACAGTCTACGAGTAGCACTGAAAGCTGATTACATATCCAAAAATAAGTTAAAAAACAAACGAACAAACAAACAAAAAAGCTCCAACCCCAAGTGGGGCATTTATCCCTCTATACTGTAGCAGGTTCCTTCCCATGCTCCTAGGGGTACCTCAATTTTAGGCTGTTCGTTACAGATGAGCCAGATGTTTAGCCCTGGACCTAGTTGTCTCCATCCACTGAATACAGAGATAACCACACAGTCTGACCATTTTGGAACAGAGCTATATATTTACCTTGAACCATTTACTTTTTCTTATCTCTTGAAGGCTGTACTTGACTACATTAGGAATTCGTTTAGGAAGACTTCTTGCGCCCTCTGGTGGTTGTCAAGATCCTCAAGCTAGCTTACAGGGTTTTAAAAGTATGTTAATAACAGTTGGAAACCGGTCGATTGATACTTACAGAAAGTTTTTCCACATCTCCCTTTAAAACTCGTTCTAAGTAAAGCTGTTTAAGTTCTCGTTCCAACCGTGACGGCAACCCAGGGTACATAGTAGACCCTCCGGAAAGGACAATGTGCTTATAGAATTCAGATCTAGAAAGACACAATAGGTATTCATTTGAGGTTTCAGACTTCCTGTTATTTATGTCAGCCTCAGGGGTTGTCTGGTGGGAATGAAATAAAATTTGACATGTAAATCACCAGGCTCAATGTTTGTTATTACTATCATTATTTAATACCAAACCCTCTTTAATATAAAATGTTATAATTTTGATAAAAATATTTCTAAAGCACATGACACACTTCTTGCAAATGTATTTAATTGAGTCTTTTAATAATGACCACAGTTTACACTACAAACTTTTAGTGTTTGGACTGTGTCATCACACTGCTTCCCTGGAGCCCCCGAGATATGCTTGTTTACTCTAATTAACCATATTGTACTTTGATTCCAGTTCGTTTCAATTTTTCCATTTGCCTTTTGTAGTTTTCCCTTTTGTTCCTCTGCCTTGAAGCTTTTGCTGTTATTTCTCTTTAGACTGATGTGTTTGCTTCTTATAGCAGTTCTCTCTTCCTTCCTTACACATGCTTTTCTTATACCAGACAATCAAATCTAAAATAATTGCATATGCAGTAAAAGTAATATAGTCTGAGTGAGAGTTTGAAGAACTTTTCTCACAGTAAAGTTCAGGAGCTAAGTCACATCCATTTTGGCCTAATTCAAACTGGCCTCCAGGTTGTTACTTACTTCCAGGTTCTCAATGGCTCAGGCTACTGTAAGCCTAGCTTCTGGAAGAACTGTGTGGGTTAACTGCAGAAGTATACACGTTGAGTGCAGCATAAGCCAAGCAGCTGAAATATGGTTATATGTGATAAGTACCCATGAGCCTGTATTTACATGTATGCTTTCAATATGTAGAACAAACAAAATGTGAGTTGTGCTACTTTCCAATGTCAGGTCTATGGAGAGAGTACTGAACTTGACAAAACTTTAATCACCAACGGGAATGGAATTTTAAAAATGATTTGCAATTACTGATCATTAAATCAAAGGACAAAAAAATCTATCTCATTCCTATTATGAGAATTTACCATAATTATGAAGTCTAGATGAGATTTTTGATCATCTGCCATTAGATCTATACCTTGTAATAAGCCAATTGCTTTTATTAATTTCCATTATCATCCTGCTCCCCAGCCACTGAAAAAAATTAGCTGGGTATTTAAATTCAGGGTTAACCAAACAAGTTTGCTTTACAAAACGCTTCTGAGTGAATTCTTCAACAACCTGAGTGTAGGGGAGGATTATCTGATTATGACTAAACTCTAGATTTAATAAAAAAGACTATATAAGTCTTTTTGTACAACTAAATAAAAACAAATTTTTGTATGGCTAAAAATACCATAAGCAAGAGACAAATGGTAAACTGGAAGAAAATATCTGTACCAGATAACACAGAGCTAATATAAAAAGAACTTTTAAAAATTGAGGAAAAAAATTATAAAAATTCTGTAGAACAGGCAAAAGCTATGAACTGGTCTATGACCAGAAAGATATAAAAGCTATGACTAGAAAGATAAAAATGGCCCTAAACACAGAAAAATGTTCAACTTCACTCTTAAAAGAGATGCAAATTAAAACTACATTGAGATATTTCTCACTCATCAGACCGTCATAAAAGTAAAAAAGTTGACAAACTCTGTTAACAAGCTGTGGGGACACAGGTGTCCTCACATATTATTGGTGGGCATGAGAAATGTGTAACTTCATTAGAGGGGAACGGAGCAATAACCTAACTAGATGCATTTATCCTTCAACGGAAAACTCCCCTTCTAAAAATATTTTCAGAATATTCATGCCCAATAATACAAAAATACAGCATGCATAAGGTTATTAATTGCAGCATTATTTGTCAACACAAACATTGAGATCTACCTAAATAATCAGATTCACTGAATAAACCATGATATGTATACACTGAAAAAAAGAATGTAACTGGAAAAAAGAATGAGGACAATCCCTAGGAAATGGAATGGGATTGTTTAGGATATATTAAGCAAAACAACAACAACAAAAAAACAGGAACAAAAAATCAAAACCCAAAGTGCAAAAGAGTTTTTATAGTATATTATATTACCTTTTGTGTAAGAGGAAATAAGAACCACAGAAAGGATAAACCTGAAACTAGTAAGACCATTTACATATAAAGAGGGAAGACTAGGGTGGAAGACAAAGGGTGGGGAGGGTAATGTAGTTTTGACTACATGGTTAATGTTCTACCTATTCAAAAAACAAAAAGATGGATATACATAAAAGGATACAGATATTTCCTTCCTGCTTGAAGGAGCTCATATTGGCCATATCAGGAATTTAGAGCATTTAAATAAATATGGCAATAAATTATAATCCACTGAAAAAAAATCATGAATCCACACTGATAATAAACAAGATAAGGGAGGAAGAAAAACACTTCCTTTTGCTAGAATGCTATTAAACATAAAAGAAGTGACAGAATTAGAAAATCACCTTTTTGCAACCATATGATAGAAATGCATTTAGGCAAGAATTATCAGTAGATGCTAAAATGGATGGGGGTAGGGTTTGATGAGGTTTAGCAGACTTTCGTTGCCTCAAAGTATTTTCCCACGACTTACTTACAAATTAGGAAAGGAAAAATAGAAGAACTATACAGTGGAGCAAACAGGAAACTTAACACTAACGTCACCAGTAAGGAACAGACAGACATCACCTCTGGATGTGATACCCTGAGGACATATCACATATGTATTTTAGCCAAAAATGTATAACCTGAATCTAATCATGAGAATCATTCAAACCCAAATTGAGAAAAACTCCCTAAAACAATTGGCCCGCATTCTACAAATATATCGATGTCATAGAAGACTAAAGAATAGTAGCAGACAAAAGGTGACTAAGAGACATGCCAGACATGCCAACTAAACACAACATATGATCCTAGATTTTGACCTTTACTGGAGAAAAAAAATAACCGTATAAAGGACATTATTAGGACATTGAACGAAATTGAAATATGATGGTAGATAAAAATATGTATTGGTAAACAATCTCCTGAACTTGATACTGATAACTGTGTTGTGGCTATAAAGAATATTTTCATTTTTAGGAAGTACAAAGTGAATATTAAGGAGTAAGGAGGATTTATGCATTCAACCTATGCTCAAATAGCTCAAAAAAAAAGAGGATAAAGCAAAAATATAGGATGTTAAAATTAGTAAAATGGGAAACTAGATAAGGAGTATATATGAGTTCTCTTTATTATACTAGCAACTCTGAGTTTTAAATTGTTTCAGAATAAAAGTTTAAAGTGGCTTTTAGGACACAATGATATGTTGAACATCCAGTGCCACCCTATCAAGATTATTTTGCCTTATCTATTCAAAAACATGAGTGAGATAATAGATAACTTGGTCATTCTAACTATTCATACTTCATCTATTTCTGATAAATAACTTTGAAACCACCATTTCTAACATACCTAGTATCAATGTCAGCGGCCTGGATTGTGTTAAAAAGCAATTCAGCAACACCCACGCCCTCAACATTGATCAAGTGAGGCTGAAATAAAGCTTCTGGTGCTTCAAATCTCTCTCCTCCAACTTTGATGATGCGGCCATCTGGGAGCTAGCAACCAAGAACAACAAGGTATTAAAGATTTAAAAAATTTCTGGTGTTTTCTAGAACACAGTACTTTTAAACACATCTATTCTATAACCAAAATCATTACCAGTAACATATTTCTCCCAAAATACATTTTTGAAAAAAGAAAAAAGAGTAAAATAAATTTTGGTAATTGTTTTCATTATCATACTCTGTTCTGCTTTTAAAAATGGTACGCCATGACCCAAAATATCAAGACTTTCTTGGAGAGATCACTAATGCATAAAGGCTTGATGTTCTATTGATGTGTGTGCAGCTAAGCATAAATAGGCAGCACTGATCAACGATTACATTTGAATTACTGCTGGTGGTAATGCTACTTATCATTTTAACAAATATTAGTGATTTTATGGATATTTTTTACCATGTGGCATAAACACACTCAATTAAAAATTTTAAATGATTTCTTTCAGAAATTACTCTGTGAAACTTTATTATTTTGCCATCAAAACTCTTTATATATCATGTGTGAAACTTCTGTTAAATCGTTCAATCTGAAAAATGTTTTACTATAAAAAAAGTTTAAGGAACACTGATCTAGACTATTTTTATTAGGCAATTCAGTTGTATCCTACTCAGTAGGTCCCATTAAATGTTAAATAACATAAATGTAATTTTAAATTAAGCAAATATGATTTAAACAACAGCTCAGATATCATTACCACATGACCTTGTGCAGAAAACTCTTAAGTCACATCATATTTATATTTAATAAAATGAGAATGTTAAGGAAAAACTCCCTCTCTTAAACTACCACATAATTCGCTGTATTGAACAAAGTAACAAGCATACTTATATATGCTGGCATGTGACACATTTCTATATGATACCAGAATTAGTTTTACATTAACATTTCTAACAGTATATTTATTTATAATAATTATATTCCAAAATCGACTTTCCAATATGACAAAGTCCCACAAAGCAAGTTCTTTAAAACATTTACTTCATGCTTGCTGTCAGCTGTTTACAGGTATGTACAAAGCAATATTTTTCAAAAACTCCAGAATTGTTTTTATAAATTCTATTAAATTTCTTTTAAAAAAAAAAGAAAAAGAGAAAGATACTGATCCGAACATTTACCTTTAAAAAAATAAAACTGTCCGGTGAGTTTTAGCAAAATCTCTGTACCTCACACTTCCAGCCTCTCTGATGGTGTGACTTCTCTTGATGCTCTGGCTACCTGGCCACTTTGGGGCCACCTACCCTAAGAACTACCAACCCTTAGGAACTGTTAAGACTGTGGTTCTCATTTCTCTGCATCAAGTATTATCCATCCTTTATTTGTCCTTATCCCTCATCCCTCTTCACTTACTCATCAGTTTATGATTTCTTCCTATTGTTGTATATAATTTTGTAACCTACTTCAAATTCTCTGAGAAAGGAGGACATTAATAAAACATGTCTTACAATTCTAGTTCCCCCATCCTTTGCCACATGTCACTTTCTTCTGAACAAGTCAGGTATATGAAAAATTATAAATCTAGAGGAAGTGTGAAGAGGCTTCAGGAAAAAATCCCCAGGGCAAATCTGGAGATCGTTACATTGCAAAGTACTGGATTATTGACTCTTTGGATCAGTATCTTTGAAAAATAAAACAATATAACTTATAAAACTTTATAATAATTTTTAAAATGACTATTTCACACATATTTGTGATATGCAGAGCTTACATGAATCAAATGGTTTAAGAATACTTACTTTTACTGCCTGTTATTTGATTTCATTTGAGTAATAACCAGATCAAAGTTAAGATCTGGAAGTACTTGCCAGATGAATATGATAGACTTAAGATGGCAGTACATTAAAAATTAAGGTAGACCGATTCCCTTGTTGTAAGCTATAACAAGGTTCCAAGCCTCATTAGCTACAATTTTAAGTTAACATGTGTTTTCAACAGCTCCTTAAGAAAATACTGTCAGGAAAGACTGCCACCTACTGAATAATTAAAGCACTATTACTCTACAATGACCACTTCCCAAGGTATTTCTTAGAACACTACCAGTCCCATGAAATGTTAACTCCTATAGTTTAATAAGGTTGAGAAACAGGTATACTATACTCTCATAGTTATTTACATATTAGCAGATCAAAGGCTCTGAGAAGTCCTGCAGTAAAGCAAAACTGACTCAAACTTATTTGACAATGTAACCCCCATTTTAATATTTGTGAAATATCTATTAACATTTCAGAGCAATAACATTCTATAAAACACATGTTGAAAATGTAATTCTAGATACTAAAATCTCAAAATAACATCTCATAACTAATTATATCCTAAGGTAAAAAGGCAATTTATGATTCTTGCTTTATTTCACATTATTATATGGTGCCCTAAAATAATTAAACCATAGAATCTTAATGTAGAAAAACATTAAAAGTCACACATATATCAACACCCCAAACAAAAATACTAGATTCCAAGAAAACCTCCTTAAGCACACACCAATAATCATGGTTGTCTATTTTAAAACCACATATATATCATACACTGGAAATACTTACTGTGTAAGATTCAACTAATACTGTGGTTTCTAAGGCCAGTTTCTGCTCTTGCTCAATATTATAGCCCACATAACACAATTTTTCTTTAATCATGCGAACTGTTTCAAAATCAGCAGAATGGTTGAAAGCATATCCTCGCAACAGAAGAAGCTGATTCAAAAAATAACAGTAAATTCACAATTAATCTGAATGAATTCGACTCTGCCAAAGCTATTATTGTTCACTAATATGTCAAATCAATAACAAATAGACAGTGGATCCTTAGGTTTTAGTGAATATTTCAGAAACAGGGACAGTACTTTGCCATCGAAGGGTTTATATTTCAGTTTTACAGAGAAGTTTCAGAGAGTTACAGAATTAACAGTTCATGAATAATAAATGGATAAAACGAGCTAGAAAAACTAGTTTTTAAAGAGTACTGTTGGAATACTAATGTTTAGATAGTTTTGATAAATAATCAAAAGTCTGTAAATATTATTTTAGTATTGGACTCCTATAATCTGAAATTTGCTTAATCAGTGCTATATTCATGATATCTCTAAGTCTATTGATAGAAAAAAAAACAAAAACACAAAACTATCCATCATAAACACAACTAAACTTTTCATGTAAAAACTCTAAAAAATAAATTCCCTAATCTCTGTATTTATGTTCTGAAGAACATCCTCAGAAATTCCTTTGGTGGTTACTTTAAGACAGAATTCTGGCCTAGAATGAGTGTATTGTAACTCTAATTAAATTAATTTCACTATTATTCTAAATGAGACTAAAGGAACCCAATGTCAAGGTGAAAACAATGCAACCCAATTTGTTGCACAGACATACCCTACAACAGTGTTTCTCAAAAGCAGCACCAGTGACATTTTGGACCTTATAATTCTTTGTGGGGGCTGTTCACTGTAGGGTGTTTAGTAGCATTCTTGTAGTTGTAACATCCAAAAAAATGTCTCCGGATATTACAACATGTCCCTGAAGGGCAGCATTGTCCCTGGCTGAGAGTCACTGACCCAGAGGAGGTATACGAACTACAGAATTCTGGTAGACAATACATTAAACTTTTTTTAACATTAAAAAAAGTACACATACCTCCAAATAGTGGCCGCATATACTTTCTTCAGCAGTATTTTAAAGAAAATTGTAACTAACAATAGTTAAAGTAAATTTTAAAATAGCAAACACTGAAAATTGGATGTATTCCACAAAAACTGCTAAATAAAGTCAGGTAAATCTGAGCCCTGTTTTTAATCAAATACCATGGTTTTTTGTTGGTCAGGACAAGAAATATCTCTTTACCTCTTCCTCGGGAACAGCAAATATAATTATGTAACAAAATAACAAATTCTCATTAATATACTAGATAGAAATCATGAAAGTAAATCTCAAACGGATTTTTAGATGAATAATGGGATACGGGGTCATTTCTCGGTACAGAAGAATTGCTAGAATCCTGAGATGATACATTCTATTCTGTGTTAAGTCAGTAAACACAAATTACAAAATTTAATTTCTATGGCATTTTCTTTTGCTTACCTTGATAAGATATCTGGTAATATCCCTCCCAGCAATATCCAGTCTCCTGGTAAGGTGAGGAAGAGAAAAGCCTTCATACACTGGGCAAATATGAGTTACACCATCTCCAGAATCCACCACTACTCCAGTCAATAAACCTGTGTAAGAACCATGAGATTTTAAATAGAAAGCCAAATCAGAAAAATCAGAGCCAGCAATTTTCAATTAGTAAAGAAACCAAACTAGAAACTTCATCAGTCAGAATGGTCCAGAAGCCAGCATTTCCTTTTTATTTGTGTATTTTGCAGTGTGTTTCTATTAAATAGACACTGAAGTCAGGTGTTCTCTCACATGTCTCTTGTGAGACTTTTGGTCAATCATGTGCTATCCCAGGAGAAGGGAAGAAACAGACTCTGAGATCTAGGACTGAAAACCAACATGTTCTTAAAGCTCAGTGTAATTATTTTTCTTTCCAACTCAATCTTGATCCCTGAATTCTCTTAAAGTAAAATTTTCTAAAGCATCATGGGTAACTTTTATGAAAACCATTGTGAAAGAAATGTTATACAACTTGATAGTGAACCTATTGAAATAATCTAGTTCTATTTTAGTCATATAGCATACTCGAAACTTTGTTTTGGAAAACTTCCTGTTGATACTAGGCAGCTTGAAATCTGGGAACAATTAATCTTGGGTAGCTAAAGAACCACCTCGATTACTTACCAGAAACGAGAAGACAATGTCAATTAAATATAATAACTGACATTAATTATTATTATAAAAGAACAAAGAAGCTGCTTTATTTCCAATATGCACTATTTAAAAGTATAAATAACTGCAAAAGTTAGTGTTTTGCTTTTTGCACCAGGGTTAATTTAGGCAGAAAAGAAACAACGACAACCAAAAAACCCAAACAAAAAAAACTTTAACTCATATTTTCTAATGGAATGCTTTCAACTAAAAAAAATTTTAACCAGAATATATATTATCTATACTTGCTTAAGCATTATTTTATCATCTTTTCATCCCTGAATAGACCTTCTCCCTCTTTCTATTAATACAAACTTGCATGCACTATAGAATAGCTGTAATTTGTCTCTGAATGCATTTATTCAAACCACCTCCTCTGATGTTGATATAATGTCTTTCCCTGATTGATGCTGTAAGCTTCAATAAAAATCATACATTGCCTTTTAATGTTGTATTCCTTAAGACAAGACTTTCCGTTGCAAAAAAAGAGGACTCCACAACACTAATTTGAAAATACTCCCAGTAATATCAATTAAAGCAGGGATTTACATTTATATTCCAAACATCCTTTCCCACCCAAACTCACTTCATTTTCTACCACTCCCGCCAGCTTACATACTTGACCACTTGTCACTATATTATCTATTGTTTCCACTTCAATTCCTACAGATTCTTTAAGGTTCAATCTAGTTTTTACCTTTTCTTTACCTTCCCTGACAATTCTAATCGCAAGCCCAAATCCTCTAATTCCATCTATTCCTCTCAATCCTATCTGTACCATGCAGCCAGACATTACTTCCAAAATCACCATGTCATTTTTCTAATTCAAAGACCTTCCATGGCTCTGAATGCTTCTTCCTACTTTTCCTGTTTTAACTGGTAGCTCTAGACACCTTGTTCAGAAGGAAAATTTTACTTTGGCTTGGGTTCTTTCGATTAATATTACTGGACTTTTAATGTCTCAAATTAAGGATTCAACAACTGAATATCAGGAATCAAGAGAGGGTACCTCTTGTTGGAGGCAAATGAATTTATGAATATTGCTAGGAAAATCTGTTATGATCAATTTTATTCGAACATAATTCAAACAAAAATTCACAGTCCAGCAGAACTGTCCCATCCCCTCCTCTTAAATGGAACTATTATCAGTTTCAAAGCTTAGATTAAAAAATTTTACATCTATTTTTTCCAAAGTATTTTCTAAAATAAATTCTAGAAAAAAAAATTTTTTAAATGAAACATTACTTACAGGCAAACAAGTACTCCTTATAAAGTAACAAGTGATTTTTGATTCTTTCTTCAAAGAAGAAATCACCCATAGCTGGACTAATCATTTTAAAGAACAAGGGGACCACATCTAGTTTATGCACTGCCATATCTTCTACACTAAAAAGAGTGCAAGGCATATGTCGCACTTGAATGAACAAAGCTTCTTTAAAAATTAGTCCCCCTAAGTATTTTCTAAGTATGTACATGCAGTACTAAAGACAGTTTAAAAACTCAATATGTATTTTTACAAGGTGATTTTTAATATTCCATGTGTAGAATCAGATGGATCGCTTTAATATTAAAGTTTGTTTTCTAAGTACTATGCCACATATACTGCTTAAGTACTAAGGCTTGAGACTTAGTTCAGGTGTCACCCTCTTCAGAAACCTCTGATGTGCTGAATCAAAATGGCCTGTTTCTATATCTTTTTCCCAGTAGACTTGAGGTCATCTTTACACTTCAAGTGTCTAACACTCTGTGGCAGTTATCTGACAGCCCCACAAGTTCTCGATAAGACCATCAGACTATAAAGAGCTCTCCCCAACATGGCCAATATTTTATTTCCAATAGACAGGATGGCAGTTACTAACGGTGGTACCAAGAAAACATAGGATCCCCTCCATTAAATCTACACCTCAAAAATTGTAATTATTATGCATTTGACAAACATAATTTTATACTAATCTTTTTGGATCTTTTTTAAAAAAAAACTCTGTGCCAATTCTGAGGACAACTTCCATGTCCATTCTCCACTGCATAAAAATTTTTACTTCAAAATAGCCTAAAAGAAGGAAACTACTATGTTTTTAAAAATTGAGAAATCTCCTTTTAATTAGGAAGTAAAAAGTATGTATTTGACAAATTTTAGAAATTGTGAAAATATTTGAATAAATATATAAATATTGTGCTTTTCTGGAATTTACAACTTAGTGAAAAATCAAATTCCTTTGACATAAAACATACTTAATAAATGTCTGATGAACTGACTATTCTAAAAGTTAAGCTTCACTTACCTTGAGCATACAAAGTCAGAACTGCCTGGATGGCTACATACACACCAGAAAACTGGTAAGTTTCAAACATTACCTGAAAATGCAAAAGGAAAGAAAAAAATATTGGTATTTAGAAGTTAATATTCTAAATATTTATATGCTTTTTGCTCAAAATAGAATCAAGGGACCTAAAACAATCCTCCATTCTCTTCAGTTCTCCTTACTGCTATTAAACTTCTGATGTCACTGATCTCCAATTTGGGGGACAGATTTTTGGATAGATATTGAGTCCCCAAGCAATTCATAAGTGGCTACAAAGATCTGAGTGTTTTAGTTAATGGCTAATTAGAATGAAAGACAGCTTTCTGCATTTGAACAAACCTTTCATAGGAGCGTAGGTCCCTGGTGCTGAAAAGGTTGGGGACCACTGCCTTAAGAGAAATAGGTTTTAATTCAAAGACAAACTACAGACATTGTTTAACTGCTGACCTTCCCATCCCTCTCCTCCAACTTGGGCCAAGACTGTAGCTCTATCTCTAGCAATTAAAAAAAAAAAAAAAAGTAGTAGTAGTAAAATAGTAGGTCAGGAAGACAAAAATGCAGCAATTTCTGAATGTTGGCAGGTATAGAACAGCTTGGCTGCTGAGCCTGCCCTCCTTACTTGAGCCAAGGCCGCAGCTCCCCTCCCTTCCCAGCTGAACTAGGTTGGCGGGAAGAGTTTCCTAGTGCCCTCTCTGGTCATGACCATGCTCATTCCCTGTAGTCTAGGTTGGCTAACAACATCCTGTGGGATTTTTTTCTGTTATCTATAGTGAGCACTCCTTGACTGACAGGGCTGACTACCACTCTGAATATGAGATATTTAGAAATTTTACAAGTGACCACAATGAGAATTACAGAGAATTTAAAATTTACAACTCTGAAACATATACTCATCAATTAACAATTAGCTACTCTAACTAGTATTCTACGCCATCATCCTTTATTTCCCCCCTCCACATGGATGAAAATGGAAGAGTGATGTTGTATTTGAATTTATCAACTTGAAAATCTGTTAGAATCTGTTTTTACTCATCAGAACAATAATAAGTATTTGTAATACTAATACTAAAACAATAATAAGTATTTGTAATCTCATTCAACATTCTGAATGAGATTAAAGTAGGGCATTATTAGTCACAGCCAAATCTGCATTCACATGTAAAAAGAGTATTAAAATAAGGTCAGACTTTAGAACTTAGTGAGACCAATTCTTGTCATTTTTGAACGTTAAAAAAAATTATGTGTCCTGGTCAAATAGTTAGTGGAAGAAGCATCCAGATAAATATAATGTCATCTCCCCAACTTTTTATCTGAAAGAAAACTTGGTTTTCATTCTGACACCATGCTGCTTTCCTAAAGAGGTTTCCATGTGTAGGAATCTTTTGGTTTAATGCAAAGTATCTCTATACTCTGATTTTATAAGGTGCTGCTAAAAAGACAATTATAAATGACTACTTATCACAAAATATTAGTGGTTATATATAACTCAGAAAGTGTAAAATAAACTTGAAATATGAACTAATACAACCAAGCCAATTTTCAGTTTTAGGGGTGGCTAGGAAGAAAAATACAATACAAACCATAAGGAATGATATGGATTCTGTACCTAAAACTACAATCTCAATTTTTAAAAACACTTACTATAAAAACTGAGTTTTAATCCAGACTTTAACATTGTCTAACAACAATCTCTTCCAAACCCCTTCCAAAATTTCCATCAACATCTAAACGTAGTCACAGAAAAAAACAAAATATACAGTAAGTGGTAACTAGAAACCTACTAAAATACAAAGTTATTAAAGTTTGTACCATATATAACAAAATGAAAGACAACCATGAAGTTACTTACCTAAACTATTAAGAATGTAGACTTCTTGCTCTCTGTAACTGCTTACCTCACTAACCTTTTCAGCCTCCTTTCCATAGCTCCTCTTATCTCCCAGGTCCTTAGCCTTCTCACCACTGTCCACTTTCACTTCTTTACAGAGTCATATTACCTATATCCTGATGACTCCCAAGTTTATATCCCCAGCTTCAGACTTTTCTCTTGAACTTAATTTTGTATATTAACTATGTACATGACATTTTTGCTTAGATGTATAATGAGGACCTAACATGTCCACAACTGAACTCCTAATCTACATCCCCCACAATCTGTTCTACTTATCGCAGTCTTTTCCCACCAATTTAAGATGGTAACCCATCCTGCGGTTGCTCAAATCAAAATCTCTGGAGTCATCCTGACATCCTTGACTCTCCATTACCCATAGCTAAATGCGTCAGAAAATTCTTCAAAATAGATCCACAATCTAGCCACTTCCCATTATTTCCACCGCTATTACCCCTAATCTTAACCATAATTATATTGTCTAGATAGCAGAGAAAGTCTCCAAACTGGTCTCTTTTCTACCCTTTTCTCCTTATGATTTACTCTCAACACAGCAACCACAGAAAACTAAATCTGGGCATGTCCCTTCCCTGTAATAGCCCTTCTTTTTATTTGAAGTTCAATTTCCTGTAAGAGCCTACAAGGCCCTTGATAATCTGGCACTGTTTATTTCTTTAACCTCATCTCCTGCTGATCTCCCACTCTGGCTTCCCATTTGACTCTTTAACATGCCAGGCTTGTATCATTTTGAGACCCTGACACTGCCTCCTCTCTGCCTGGAATGCTCTTCCCCCAAATATTTGGGCTAACTCCCTTGCTCTGTCTTTGTCTACACATCACCTTCTCAGATGGCTAGTGCCACACCCTGAGTACAAATGCAACCTCTCCCACTCTCCACTCCCCTCAACCTTCTCTTTTTTTTCTCCTTTACCATCTATTTTCTTCTAACCATTCAATTAAGTCACTTTTTTTTTTTGGTCTGTTTTTTTCCTGCTAGAATGTAAGCTTCATGGCAGCAGGATTTTATTTCCTATACTGATACAGCCTACTTAGAAATAATGATTAGCATATAGTTAAGTGCTCAGTAAATAGGACTGGAGGGAAAACAACTATTTTTTGTATTCCCTTTTTCCTTAACAACAATGTAAAATAAAAGAAAGAAGGAAAAAAAAAGGCAGAAATACATAAATGCACATCTCATCTAAAAACTTACCTCTACAATCTTCTCTCTGTTTTTGGTTGGGTTCATAGGAGGCTCCGTGAGTAAGATTTTACAATTTCTGGTATCTATGTTAAGTTTCTCTGGTCCAAATGTATAGTCCCACAGGTGTTTCATGTCATCCCAATTTCGTACTATGCCATTTTCCATAGGGTAGTTAACTTCTAGCATTGAGCGTAATTCACTTGCCTCATCACCAACCATAAGATCCTAGAAAATTATAATATTCAAAGCTTTAGACCAGTCAAATTTTTGCATAAAATACCTTTAGAAAATTATATTCCCATATTTCAGAAAATTTGGGAATAATTAATTTTAATCTTTATGGCACTTTCAGATAAAAGTTCTTCATTCTACAAGTTAATAAATTTTTTCTTTCAAGAACAATGCCTCGCAAAGTTTAATCATGAATAATATATTTTTATGTACAATGTGGTTTAAATCAATAAACTGACCTTACCTTTAATACATGTTTCCAAAAGAAGAGCATTAGCACAAATAAACCCCACATTTTCATATTTTGGAGGGTTTTGTATGAGGTTTCATCTGTTTCTTTTGCTCAAATGTTCAAAAAATAAAGCCTGTGGTATGTGAAATAGCACATCAGGAAAAAAAAAACTTGTAGAAAAAGGCTCAATGCATGCAGCACATTACTTTGTAGTAAATATCAAAATGATAAGTGTAAGTATTATAATGAAAGAAGCAAATGAAAGCATGACTAAAGAAGCAAAAAAATAGAATAATTTTTTATTACACTACAATAAAGCATATATATGTGATATAACTTGTAAATTTCACAAACCTCTACCTACTTATGTCTGAATTAGAACTGAAATTGTTTCTACATATAGCTCACCAAAATGAATAAATATTTGTAGAGATGCAAAAAATTAAGACTCAAGGAAACAATTCTGTATTACCTCATGAGCAACATTTTTATCTTAAAGTGTAAGACTAGAAAACTATGCTACTACAAATGAAGCAGAATACTCACAAGTCTTGTCTCCAATGAGAGCATATTTAAGATGACCTACATATGAAAAGTCAAATTTTGTATGTATAAGGCTAATTATGTCCTAGAACTTACTTATTTTAGAAACCATATAGTCGATATTAAATAATCCTAATTTCTATATGAACTGATGAATTTTTAAAAACTAGCATCAGAAATAGCTATCTGCTACAATACCTTCAGTTTAAAACATGGGAAAATTAAAAAAAAAACAGCAAAATTAATATGTCTTAAAACAGAGGTTTCAATATATATATATGAGTTTAAAACTTTTAAAAGTAACAATTTTTATAAAAAGATCAGAGGTAAAACCAAGGTGAAGACTTATTAAAAAAAGAACCAGATTTCTGCAAATCCACTGAAGCAACAAAAAGGAAAAACAAAGTTAAAGCAGATGCTAAAAATATTCTCTAAAACTTGTGTTGCAACTAATTTTTTATAAAGTTAATTTACCATAACTAATACTCAAATATCTTAAATATTAACTGTTTAGAATCATCTGAAAGGAAAATGCAAAACTCAAAATCTATGTTTGCAAACTCTAGTTAATGACATGCATACAGTGAATTATTTAGGGAAAAGCATACTGATACTTTGATATACATCAAAAAACAAGATAGACTGATGGATAGATATGTGATATATCAGAATAGCAAATATTAAAATGTCAGAATCTATGTGATGGGTGTATGGGTTTTACTGTAAAATTCTTTCAACTTTGCTATATATTGTAAATACTTCTTAATAAAATGTTTAGGGGGATAGTTATACTTACAAGTACATATATTAGTTTTGACCAGTAACAAATATAATTTAATACACAGTTTTACTTTCTTCTAGAATGTCTTTCTTTGTGTTATACAAGGTAATAGATTAGATAATTAGATGGTTTATATAATCAATATACATTCATAACTATATTTCAACAAATTTCATCAGGATATTTACTTTTTATTCCATGCAAGAATAGGGGCTTAGAGATGTCTGACCCAACTAAAAATAAAAGTCTCATGTATCTATGTCTAGGACATACGTACTATAAAGGACTAACTGAAAAAAATGTCTGGCATTGAGTATCTTACCATCCCTCTGAACAAAGAGAATATTTAATATGAAGAAAACAAGTGTTAACTTATTAGGTTAGTGCAAAATTTGTGTAGCTCAAGCTACTTAAATCCATCTGTATCTAAAATTTTAATTTAAAAAAATCCTAAAATATATCATCTTTCCTAGAACATTTTGATTTCTAAAAACCAAAAATACTAAGAGCTTTATGTAGCTTGCCCTCATACTTCAGAACCAAGTTATAAGCAATCAGATCAGGCCTTAGATTTTTACCACCCATTTCATCACCGGACCTCAAGCCTAAACCATCACCTATTACCTGAAAGAATGAAAAATTACAGTAACTGTTCTGAGATGCTGTTTCAAAGGCATTTATATTTTAAGAAAAGCAAGCAGTATAGATTATATGTGCCAAGAATAATTTTAAACACTGCTACCTCAAACTGGAAAATAGAGCAAACACACCTTAAAATCATAATTAAATTTCTAAAAGGAAATTCCGTAAAAAATATGTTAAATTAAGCCTACACTGTTCTGCACAAGTGCACTCTCTTCTTAAATCGCCTTAGGATTTTAAGACAAAGGCATGATCTTTTATTTAGGATAAACAGAGGAATTTCTACTTTTAAATGTCTTTGTTTATTTAAAAGAAAACTCCACAAAGTTACTGTTACTAGTTAAATTAGAACTGCCTGATATTCATCTTTGTGAAACTGCTTACAAATAAATAACACACATACAAAAATACAAACTTGAAAAGACCTACTGTAGAAGTACTTAAGACTATCACTGAAAAATATAGTAAGAGTCAATTGTTTGAGATGCATCCTGTAAGCTTCTAGTTCAAAAGAAAAAGGTGCCACACAATGGCACTTACTTAGGGAGTTAAAATCTGTTGTTTATGAAAAAGTCCTACAAGACTTTCCAGTTTTTCTTATTTATCCTCAGATAATGTTGTAAAATCTGCTCATCAATAAGGATGGTATAGGAAATCCTCCCTTTACCATCTATATTTCATTTGCATATTAAGTTGCATATTGAAAACTGTACTGGATGCAAATATACATAAGGCTATGATAGGCAAGGTTAAATTTAACATGGGCCAATAAAGTGAATTTATCCAAATGTAGCAATTTCGCCCCAATTTTCTGGATCACATATATCCTATACAAAGCCACTTGGTTTCTACTATTATGCACACCACATTCCATTTTAATTATAACATTCATGTATAAAAAACACAAGGAAAACAATTCAAAACTATGTTAGTATCAGTTCTGGTTTGGTCCATTGTATGCAATCATGAAAGTATCAGACTTAATTAGTTGCTACCAAACTGAAGCAATGAAAGAGGTTAAAAATCAAAGTACTTAAAATTAAAATATGAAATTACCCCCCTCCCCAATACTAAAGGGACACAAAACAACAACTACTGTCCCACCAAGCAAAAGTGGAAAACAAACAGAGAGCATGTGTGTAACCTCACTTACCATCTTTTTGTTATTCTACTTCAACAGGTCAAGAAAGGTGAAGAGAGAGAAGGTAGAAGTAAGAGTCAGAAAAGGCCTAAATAAAATCCTCACTGAAATTTTTAAACATATAAGCAATAGAGACAAATTAGGTCGAGGTCAGATGCAGTTCTACTATATTTTATGGAGTTAATAATTAGGGCCAAATTAACATGGACAGTTATTAATCCTGAATAAAAATTAACTCATTAAACAATTTAAATTTCCAGTTTTTTTAGTCTATCATCATATTTTACTAACAAGACACAAAAGGTATAAGTCAATCTACCAGGCATAGGAATTCCAAAAAGTCAAGTTTCTTTAATTCATTTCTGAAATTAAGAACCTTAATTAAGGAAAATAAATACCAGGAAAGGTCTAGCTGGGTAAGCAGAGCGTAAGTTTAGTATTGTTTTTCTAAGCCTTAGCAGTCAAGTTATATTTGACACAGGTCTCTTTTACTGTTTTCTACTGGAAGAACAATTTAACTTGAAAGACTTAAGGGATTGAGCAGGCTGAACAGAACTGAGCCAACAGAACACAGAACAACAAACCAATACAAGCGATGCTACTGGGGAAGTGCTTAATAAAGCATCTCATTAGTATACTGGCTTAGTTTCATTTTCTATTACTTGGCCTTGAAAAGAAAGTGGGAGTTAAAAGATATGTAATCATTTGTGCCTGTGTTGGAGAATAAAAATGGCTATATGTGATGTACCTTAATACCTCAAAAATGTTAATATCTATAAAGTATATAAAGCCATTCTTCTTTAAAAGCCTGATACTGAATAAAAACACTTTTGACTCCATTTAAAATTTATCCTTATCACTACTATTAACTACATTTTAAATCAAAGTTCATTTAAGATTGAATTCAATCAGAATGAAAGTCCACAAAAAGAGAATAAGGAATCCCATAAATTTCCCAAAAGACCCTAAAATAAAAACACTCTCATATTTAGGGTCTCATTTGTTTGTAACATAACAGAGGCCAGACTTCACTATTTCAAGTTTTTCAAAAATTAACATAGAACCTAAATTTCAATTTGTATTTATTCATTGTGCAACTCAACTCTTTAATCCCAAGAGCAGAGAGCTATCTCGTAGCAAATCTCTGCTACCTACTACCACCTTCCTAGAGAGCTCAAACATCCCAAAGAGGTTCATACCTTAACTCATATTTCCAATGACTCATAATCTAGCAGTTCTCTCAAGTCTCGCCAAAGACTATCCAGATAGGACCAACAATGCTAGCTTGTTCATAAATAATTCAGTTAAAGAGCCCCTAAACTCTACGGCATTTTGTATAACCTGATCCCAAGGCCACCTGAAGAATTTAAGTCAATTGGTGACCACAGTTCTTGTTCTGTTTCTTTTTTCTTCTAAAATATCAGAACTCCCACTTGATTTCCAATCCCTTTAATATGGGAGAAAAATCTATCCTTAACGCTGAGTGTCTCATGTTAAGTATAGAGAATAGGCAACGACAACCTTTCTTCCTCTCTCTTTATGGGTAAGAGAAATAATGCAAGGCCAAATACAGACTTGCACAGCTTCCTCCGGTACATTATGGAAACAAGTTATTGCATTAGTGGAAAGAGGAAGCAATAAGATTATATCTTGTGTCTTCTTGACTAGCTTTATAAAAAAGTAGGGGGATTGGTCCATGAGGACAAGGAAAGGAAAAGTCTAAGATCTCAAAGGAACACTAACATATATAATGACAAATATATGGGATTGAAAAACATAAAAATGCCGGGCTTATTTCTTTTAAAAAATATATTATGAAATAGGACTTTAAGTCATTAATACAGCATTCACTTTCATATAAAAGTCTTATTAAGTATTTTACTCCATTCAGAGTAATGGCATCAAGCCATACTTAAAGTCAGATGAAATTAACTACAGTTTTTGTGCCTTTCTTCAGGTATTGCTATAAATTAAAAATATAAGACATTCTGCCCTTCTCTTTTGCTTTTCATGGCATCTTATTTTAAAATTACTTAATTCAAAGAACCTCCCACAGGTTTTGATCCTCATTTATCAATAAATAAAATATTACCTTGATTTCAATGTTTCCCACTTTGGTGGTTGATCTGATAATAGGTCTTCCAACCAAAGCTGGGAAGATGTGTTCTGGAAAGTTAGAGCCTGCATATCCACACTTCACAAACTGAAAGACAATAGTAAAAGTGAGTTAGTATCAAGGTATTTACTATATCTATTTAAAAAAAGGTTCTGAAAAATACTGCTTTGCATTTACACAATATTTTAAACTTTCGGTGCTTTCAAATTACCCGAAGTAGTCATCAACCTATCATATCTCCTTTTATTTCCTTTATGGCATTGCCTACTACCAGAGTTCATGTTTATTTACTGGTTAACTGCTTAGTTAAGTGCCTAAGTACCCTCACTGCAGGGAAAGGAGAGCAGGGAGCTAAGCTGAGAAGTTTATGCTGGAGCCCAATACCTCGAAGAGGTCCTGGCACAGAGGGGCCACACAAGAAGTATTTGGGGAATAGACAAATTCACTCAACAAATGCTAAGTATTTTTTAAAAAGAAATGTTAGAAAATAAACAGAACTAAAACTTTAATTCTAAAGCAAACTTTCATTCATCTCTGGCAATTCACTTAAGGAACTTCATTTTCCAAATGGCAAAAATCAAGGGGCATCTGGACTAGCATCATGTTAAAATAAACACTTATTAGGCATTTTCAACTATTTACACTTTTACATTTAGATAAAAGTATTTAGTAATATCAGGTAATATAATTTCATATTCAGAGAGTGTACTTCTCCAATGAGGACATATCATTGATTCTGATACTTCCATTCTGTGATTTAAAAAACTGATATACTAGGAAATTTAACTACAGTAAAACCAAAAATAGAACCAAGGGTTTTAAAAATTCTTATGTCAATAAAACAGTCTGTTTAGTCTTATTTTTAAGAGCAGATATTGTAAGGAAAAGGCAATTAAAAACTTCAGGGTGGGAGGAAGCAATATAAGAAAGGAAAGTAATCAATCTCCCCTCCTCCACTTAACAAGTCTTTATTCAATGTCAGCCCCATTCTGCAAGAATTTTTGTGTCTACTGATGAATCCCAAGTGCCTAGAACAGTGTCTAGCACATAGTAAATGCATATTAAATAACCGATCCATAAATATTAAAAGTTTTGCTGTTGATTTCAGAGTCTCATACTATAATTGTTTTAATATAGAGAATGTTTAATATTGAGAAGTCTATTGTTCATGGCTCCAGGGACCATACATTCTCTTAGAAGAATTAAGGAGAAAATAGTAACTGAATGTGACATGTGACAGTTAATAACACAAAGGTGGGCAGAAACTATTAACCTACCCCTTGACAGAAAGCTAAAAAGCTACTATGTACAAGGAGTTGTTTTGTTTGATGGTGGTAAAATTTAGCAACAACCTTAAATTCACTGACTTTTGACTAACCCACTAAATTATAAAATTTTTATTCTGCTGATGAACCACATTTAATTATAAATAGCCTAGAACATTTTGCTATCCATAATTTCAAGTGAATTTCAAGTCTTTTATAAATAGAGCTTTTAAAATGTTAGTTATGACTAAGCAGATTAAACCTACTTTCACGAAAAATCTGTCTGAAATTAGGAAGTTTCATATTCCTAATACCACCTGAATTCCTATCCTCTCAGTTAAAGCTTACATTTTCGAACCCACATAAAACATACTATTCAGATGTTTTCTTCCAAACCCACAAAACCTACTCCTGGTCATTTTACCATTGACTCATCAAGAATAGGGCATTTTTCAGGTATAGCTACCCATTTCCAAAACTAACACACAGTTCTTACTGGGTTATCTTTCAAGGCAGAAGTTAATGTGATATGATGGCATATGCAATAATAACCAGCTTGCTCATACCTAACTCTCCATTTGAATAGCGGTTGATAGTGAAGAACTATAATCTACTTCTCACCCTTAAAAGAGTGTTAGACAAAATTCAAAAACGCTGGCTCATTTTTCTACAATGTCTTCTCAAAAAATTTATCAATGTGACCCAGAAAGACTTAGAGAGACAACTATCACAGAATACATACCTAGTATTTTCTAGTATATTCAAATGAAAAGGAAAAAAACCTTTCACTCTTCTCTTCTAAATCATAAACGCTCTTTTGTTCTTAAAGTCAAAATACAGCTCACTTGATAAGAATTGAAATGGTATGGAAGGGTAGAGAATCTCATTATTATCTCAACCATACTGACCTTTTCTACATAAATAAAATTTATCATGGTCACGAACCTAATATCAGCATTTGTCATAATTTACATATATATTTCAAATATATTAAGTAAATATCATGTGGATATTAAGTTCTTCAAATTTACCTCAAAGTCATGAACAGATATGGACACTGGATGGGTCCAAATTGTCCATACTTCAGGCTAAAAGTACTCACTTATATGAGCATAAATGTTAAGGAAAATTACAGAATGACTGAAAAAAGAATTGATAAGTTTCTAAGGGTCATTTTCAGCATACTAAATGTAAACATATAACTTGAGAAATTATAATAGAAGTTTAAGGTCGGAGGAAGAGTCTGGGATGGGGCAAAAGTCAAGTCCTAGAGCAGAGAGGAGGTGGGGAAGGTTAGCATGCCTCCCCCCTCATTCTGAGCCACACATTCAGAAACATAAAACATGGCAAATCTGTAAATTATATCGCACAATGTTTTATGATTGTAATTGTTCAGATAGGTCGTTCATATCTTAAAATTCTTGTGTGAATTTTAAGAGACAAAATATTTGCCAAATGCCTGAGGTAAGAAGAGAAAAATTGAGATCCCTCCCACCTCAAAACTACAGAAATTGTAAACCTACTATTCCTGTGCTTTACAAAAAAGAGAGAAATTTGCTTTTAATTCTAATTAAAGATATCATTTACTTGTTAACGAAATTATTTATTCTGTTTTAATAGTTTATTGGAAGGATTTGCTGGCATTGTAATCCAGTGTTATTAGCACTCTTACAGGGTATTAGATATTTGGTCAAAATGGCAATAACTGCACTATTTCACATTATTTCAAACGTGAAAGCATTAATAGCTATAATAACAAGAATATAATTAAAATAATCTATTTCTCAATTATAATATTATTCTAATATAACAGACAATATGGCATTTCCTTTCTTGCAAAAAGAGTCAGTATTTTAAAAAAAAACTGATGTGATAAAATACAAAGAAAATATTCTCTTCTAAACTGCTCACCTGGTATCATTTTAATCTTTGAAAGTCCTCCCCTGCCCCAATAATTTTAAGACTTGGTGACTTAGTTCTCTCATGGTGTACAATAAGGCTGTGTTTAAGAAATAGATTTTACCATATATAGTTTCCTCTTCATGGTACTGTGGTTTAAACTGGCTCCCTTACTTCCCACTGAGTCATCAAATGGTAAGAACAGGAACAGTATAATGTTCTTTCAAGCAAAAATAAAGAAAAAGTCTGTCTACATTAGCTCTAAAAGTACCTTTCTCTTCTCAAAAATAAACATATAAAGCTTCACTGGGACATATTGTATTTACATTTTTCCTTTATTGATTCTATCTGATGGTACTGATACATTAATTGCACAGTGATTATTCTGATCTTACACCACCAAAATATTTATTCAAAAGCATTTTGCAGGGTAAAACCAAGTTTGTTTTTGGCTTATTTCTATTCCAAACACTCCTATATTCAACGTACAATTAGCATAAGCCTGATAAAGCAGGCCATAATCATGAATTATAAATAAAAATATAATTATCCTGGCACTATATGCTACTTTGTATCACTAGACCCTAAAAACTGTACCAGTCACACAGCTGGCTGTTGTCTTCACTGTTGGTGGTGCTAACTCACTGCTGATGAAATCACCCAAGTTTGGTAAAAGAATATACCCCAGGGGCCTGGGCAGAACTCTTGAAAGGCACCTAAACCTAAGCAGATCTTCAGATTTTCACCTACCTGACCATGTTCAGTCACTCTATTTTAGGTGGTAAGTTTGAATAGTTAGTTATTAAGGATGAAGCAAATAAATTATTGGAATTTTTCCTCCTCTAGGCTGTCCTAATGAAACACTGGTCTAGCTGGGGGTTCATGAGGAAGAGGAGCAGGACCAACATCTGTGTGTGTGTTCCTAAGAACTCATCTACTCTTAGAGCACTCAACTTAGGGCCTGCTACAGGAGTTAAAAAAAAGAAATCATCAACTTCTCAAATTGCCTATGATTTTAAAACTTAAAACGTGTAAGAGGCAAGTCGCTTTAGGTAACAACTATTCGCACATATTTAGAAATTAAATTTGAATATCTTGTTTAATATTTAATTGTAAAGGTATAATGATTCCTTTACAATTAAATATTAAACAAGATATTCAAATTTCATCTAAATAAAATAAAGATGATCATGAAACAGAATACAGAATCTAAGTGGTTCCTAATCCTCTAAATTTTCAGAAATATCACAGTATTCCTGACTACGTATTATATCAGAGCTGTTTCTTCATTTGAAGTCAATCTTGTCTCTACGAAAATCTGAATAAAATTTAAAAATAAGAAATGTAACACCAAATACATAAATTTTTGTTTGAACCAACTACACTTTCCTTATTTGTTATAGTAACTAACCTTTTGTCTTAAAGAACAAGACTGAATTAGAATAAGACTAATCAATAATATAAAATCAGCTTTCTAATAGCTAAACTAATAAAATAGTAACATAAAAATGAGCTCATGGTTAACATTCCTATTCTAACTGAATATCACAAAACATTACAAATACAGGGTTCATTACCCCTTGAAAAGGAGGAATCCATTAAAATATAACTGGCTCAGATTTCTAAAGAGAATATCTAACATATTCACACAACAAAATACTTTAAATTCCATTTTTAAGATTTAAATTTCTTTAGAGATCAATCTGAGACTAATATCTTTTAAAAAGCACCTTTAAGTTTTAACTTTAAAAGTAACAAATGTTTATAGTTTCTTTAAAGATAGTTTAACAATACATGTTTTATTAAAAAACAGAAGACATTTTCCCAATAATTTGGAAGAGACACAAAGTCCTCATCTTCCCTCACTCTGACTGTTAACCCTAGTCTCACAGGTAACCGCTGTCCATATTATTATGTATCCCTCCAAAACTTTCGTATACACATATAAGTTTGTGGACGTATAAATATCTTTAATAAAGAACACAAGTATAAATGAATCATTTAAAATAACTTGAGTAAATCTTAGACATGTTTCCATAGCAGTAGATCTGCCTCTTTTAAGTATCCCATTTTGTATGGATGTCTCATTATATAACACTCTTATTACTCAAGTCCAATTATAAAGCTAGTATAATTGCTTGTAAAAGTCTGTAACAAATCCAATCGAGGGAAGTATTATGGCAGTGAACATTAGCTCTTTTCTCCTCTCAACAATTCCGTTTCCAAAGTGTTTTAAAGTAAAATCTGCTTTAATTCATATGTTATGGAAGGAGGAGAAAAGTCACAAAATATGCCACTCCAAAATGGTTAGACATCACTGTAATGTAGAAGAAAATGATCACTATGGAACATTTCTGTCTTCTGCTTTGCTGACTTGGCTGCCCAAAATACATTTTTTAAAAAGAGGGGGCGTTTGAAAGAAATAACTTTCAAATAATTTCTAAATCAGGGTCTTACTTAGATTTTTACAACTATTCGCATTTTAGACTCTTAAAGACTAACCATTATTTCTAATCTGCACCTAAGGAAAAAAGGGGAGTGGTACCAAAACTGATTAACTTCCCCCAATGTCAGTAGAATTAACACTTGGGCCTTAAGGGGTCTTAGACGTCCCAAGATCATTCAATGGAACACCCAAGATCATTCAATGGAACACGCTGGTTTCCAGGGGCTGTACCTGGGCCAAATTCCCGGCATGAAGAACAAAAAAGTATAAATGAAGCGCCTATCGGGCCTCCCCTCCCCTCAAACAAACAAACAAACAAAACCCCTCAAAACTGTGAAAGGGCTGAAGCTTGCATTGACAACACTTCCCTTTTTTTCTTTAAAGCCATTTCCTGCCTGCCGTTCGGTATCTATACAGGAAGAGGAAGGCCTCTGGGTCTTTCTCCTTTTTTAAACACCGGCGCCCCTGGGAATCGGAGCCCTTTTCGAACACCCAAACCCAGGGTTTTACTCTCGGACCCTTTCGCCAAATTGCCCCGGCAAGAGCGCGGAGCCCGCCCCTGCCGGGCAGCAGGCGACATCCCCATCCACTGCCGGCCTCGCCGCCGCCCTGACCCGGGGGCTGAGGGGGTGGCAGGCTCGGGGAGAACAGGCCGGGCTCCGCCCGCTCACTCCCCACGCCCGCAGAGGCGGAAAGGACTGCACCGAGCTCCTCCGCCCGGGCGGCCCGAAGGCCCAGAGGTAAAGCCCCAGACCGGGGGGCCCGCGCGTCTCCCGCACATCCTCACCGGGGCCTATGGCCATTGGGGCCTCCCCAACGGGCGCTTACCCCGGTGCCGTTGTCGCACACCACCACCTTCCTGCCTTGGCTGTCCATCGTCCGCACGGAAGATAGCCGCCGCTGCCGCCCAACAACCTACAGCCGCCACCGCCCGGCCCTTTCCTCTTCCTTCTCCTCACCCTTCGCAGCCCCTCCTAGGGCTCAACTCTCATCCCCCGCCCGGAAGTCACCACCCGCCGCCGCCCGCAATTTCACTGACGGCCTGAGCCGGAAAGGTAGGTATGGGAAGGAAGCCGAGACTGGCAGCTGTGGTCTCCAATAAGAAACGGAGGAGCACTGACGCCCCGCCCTCAGCTCCGGATCCAGCTCCGCCCTCACGGTCACCGCCCACTCGGGTGATGCGTCTAGTTTCCGGCGTTTTGCGGCGCATTTATGGCAGTAAACCGGGTGGGTGCTGCAATCTTCTCCCTAAAGCATCACAGGATTTGTGGGGGTGCAGTTTACCTTCTCTAAAGAGAAGGCCCAGGCAGGACATCCGTTCTGTCGCGAGATGGCAGAGGAATGTGGCGGAGAAGCTAACCGGAAGGGGGAGCAAACCTGGAAATCCCCACGAATCTCATCACTGAACATAACTTAGGGTGCTCTTGCTTTTCCAAGCACTTTCAGGGATCGGAGCTGGAATGAATACACACACGTATTTGAAATGCGTTTACACAGATACCTCCAATTCCATCCCAGCTCTTTGCCCATGTTGCATCACACCTCTTCATTGTATGCACCTATCTGAATCCAGAGCTTTGACTTTGAAATCAGACAACCCCACTTTCAAATCTAGCCCTGCCATTCAAGAGTTTTATGATTTGGGCATACCTTTTGGACATAATAACCTCTACTCTTGTGGGTTGTGGGGATAAAATTATGTGCGTAGAGTAAGCGTCCCTTCAGTGGTAGTTGTCAAACCCAGCTCTCAAAAGAGTCAGGAGGCAGTGGATAGAAGTAAATGAGTTACTCTAGGATCTTAGGGTTTGCAAACTGAAAACACAAGAAGTTAAGAGTGTTCCAAAGGAGAAAGAAAAGCTGAGCATTGTTAAGTAAAAAGTACATTCTTGAGAACAGTCATGCATACTTAGCCTCTGGGTTCATCCAAGATGGTAATCTTCTAAGTGTCTGGTGGTCTAGATAATGGAACATTCCTTCCTGAGTTTGTTAAGATGGTTATCAATGGAATTAATGTACATCCATGCATTGACACACAACTGAAGAGTTTAAAAGTTAAGTCCCCAGGCTAGTTAAGGCAAGAATATAATCATTTCCTCATGCCTCAGCCTACTCAATGTTAATAATTTAGCAGCCTGACCATAGCCACTCCATTTTATTTCTTCACTCTATTAGTTTCGCTATTTATTTGTTCCACATTTTTAAACATGCAGTTCTCTCTATCTTTTATGTCCTTACCTTTTTTCTTTTTAATCAATGAGGAGAAATCTACTCATGCTCTAAGACTTAGTTGTCACATCTGTAAAGACTTCACTGATACCTTCAAGATGCTTTTTATTGTTTATTTGCTATTAATTTACCACGGATATATGAGTAACATTGTGCTTATTATACACAACAAATATTTATTAAATGAATGATATTAAAATTCATTTAGAAAAAAATGCCTTCGTTTCTGAGGTAAGAACTAGAATGGCTATACATGTACATGACTAGAATAAAACATGGATTATGAACCCCCTCCCCTCCATCCAATATTATAATACGAGGCTGCCTCTCAGTTTTTGCTTTGTTCTTTTATTAGACTGGTGGTTTTCAAACCTTTATAAAAACATAGAATACTGTATTCAATTTTAATCTTATATGGGACTCCCAATATATAAAATAGATCAAAGTAAAGCTGCCACAGTTGTAGTTGGAAGTTTGAAAGGTTAGGATGGGTGGGTGACCTCAGGGGAATATGTCTTCCCTAGACGTGCTTTGATAGTCATTGAGACATCTCGTTCTAAACAGTGCATTAGTTCATAAATTATACATCATGCTTTTGTGGCTCCAGTGCCCAGCACTGTGCAATTTTCCTGGAATTACATTTAATTGGACTCAGCAAATTGAACTCAAATATTTCTATGTTCTTTTACTTTTCCTCTTTATGAAATTAAATTTATTACTAATTTATATTTTTAAGAAATAATATTTTTGTTTTCTTCTGATTATAAAACTATACATGCAGATGATATCAACAAACATCTTATTCACTATACTAATGAAAATGCACCAAAATCCCCTGATTATGTAAATTCAGATATAATACTATTAGTGACTGTCTCCTGTGTTTTATACCAAGCACAATCTGGGTATTTCGCTTTCCTCAAAATAATGTGACCCCACATTCAAGTGATTGAATTTTTTGAGGGAGGCTTCATTTCTAGCTTTCTGTTCAGATGATATATATATTATTCCACACGAACACCTTGCTAGGCAAATATTTCCATTTTACACACAAGAAAATGGGGGCTTTAAAAAATTAAGTCTAGCAAGGTCATAAGGTATGAGATCTACATAAAAAATCAATATATTTATATATGCTATCAGTGAACAATGTGAAAATAAAATTAGGACAATAATTCCATTCACAAGAGCATCAGAAAATATGATTAAATTAATAGAGTAACTCGAGACCTATATACTGAAAACTACAAAACACTGTGAGAGAAATCAAATATCTAGATAAACACACCATGATCATGAACTGAACACTCACTGTTAAGATGATAATTCTCTCTGAATTGATCTATATGTTCAATGTAATTGCTATCAAAATCCCAGCAAGCTTTTTTTTAGAAATTGACACTGGATCCTAAAATTTATATGAAAATGCAAAGGAACCAGAATAGTCAAAACACTTTTGAAAAAGAAAAGCAAAGGCAATGAGCTACTACTACCTGATTTCAAGACTTATAAAGCTACAGTGATGAAGACCACTGTCTTGTGGTATTGGCACAAGGATAGACATATAGATCAATGGAACAGATTAGGTAGAACCAAAATAAACTCTTAGATTTATGGTCAATTGATTTTCAACAAATGTGCTAAAACAATTCAATGGAGAAGGGGAATTCTTTTAAACTAATAGTGATGGGACAATTGGATATCCACGTGCATGGGAAAAAGGAACTTTGACACTAACCTCACACCATACACAAGAATTAATACAAATTTATCATAGAGCTAACTGTTCCAATTTTAGTATATGTGCTGCCAAAGCGAGTACTATAGACCTAAATGTAAAAGAGCTAAAACTCTCTAAATTCTGGAAGAACAAAGGAGAAAAATCTTTTGATATTAAGTTAAGCAATGATTGTTTAGATATGACACCGTAATCCTGATCCATAAAAGAAAAAAGCTGGTAAATTGGACTCGATAGAAATTTAAAACTTTTTAAAATTAAATTTTAAAACTTTTAATTCATGTATTAAGAAAACAAAAAGATGAACTACAGACTAGGAGAAAACATTTGTAAATTATATATCTAATGAAGGACTTGTATCCAGAATAAATTAAGAGCAAATACCTAATTTTAAAGAGGGCAAAATATTTAAATAGACATTTACCAAAGGAGATTTATGAATGGCTAATAGCACATGAAAAGATGCTCATCATCATTAATCATTAGGGAAATTCATATTAAAACCATAATAAGATACCACTTGATACTCGTTGGAATGGCTATAATCAAAAAGACAAAATAACACATGTTGGCAAAGATATGGAGAAACTGGAACTCTGATATTTTGCTGATGGGAATGTACAATGATGCAGCCACTTTGAAAAACAGTTGGGCAGTTTCTCAAAAAGTTAAACATAATATTACCATACCCAGCAATTCCATTCCTAGTTATATACCCAAGAGAAATGAAAATATATATCCACAGTCTTGTGCACAAATATTCATAGCAGTATTATTTGTAATAGGCTAAAAGCGGTAACATTCCAAATGTCCATCAATTAGTGAATGAGTAAACTATGTGATGTATCCACGTAATGGAATAGTATTTGGCAATAAAAAAGAAACAATATATGCTATAACATGAATGAACCTAAAAAATTTATACCAGATACAAGAGACTGCGTATTGTATGATTCAATTTATATGAAATTTTTAGGAAAAAAGCAAATTTATAGATACAGAAAGCAGATCAGTGGTTGCTGGAGCTGGGAGCCAGGTTTCCCTTGAATAGGCATGAGAGTATTTTATGGGATGATGTTCTAAAACTAGATTTTGGTGATGGTTGCACAACTGTATAAATTTACTAAAAATCATAAAACTGTACATTTGATACATGTATGTTATATCTTGTAACTTCAACAATGTTGTTTTAAAAATTAAGTTACTTGCTCAAATTTATCTATCATGTATCAGAACTAGAATTAGGTACAAGCGTGCCTGACTCCAAAGCCCAAGCTCTGTTTCCTCAGGATTTTGGGAAACTTCCAGATCTGTCATGAAAACCTGAAGTCCCAGTTGGTATCCCAGTTGGGGATGACTCCTAGAGGGATGCTAGCATTTCACTTAGACCTGATTTAGCCTCTGTGCTTGAATGGGAAAGGTCAATATGTTTTCATGATAATGGAGTAAGATTATGGCTGTTAAAATACACACATGCACACACACCTCCCCACCCCTCCACTAAAAAAATACACCCCTACTCATAGCTATGTATTACACTTGAGCTGAGAAGGAAAACAGTGCTTACTAGTAATTGAAGTAAAATAACAAAAATAATTAAATCTTTTTTTCTCCAGAATTTATAGGTAAGAAAGATTTTCTCAAATTAACTTAAAAATGCAGTTATTTGTATCTGCAGTCTCTTAGTTAATGAAAACAATGGCACCTTGGGAATGTTTTGACTGGAACTTTGATTTACTCCAAAGATGCTCACTCATTTTAGAAACTAATAGTGTTACCACATATACTATGTCTTATTCTGTACCTGAAAGATTCAGAAAGAGAACATCCATATCATTTATTTAGTTATTTGCTTTAAAAAGACACTAAGTCAGAAGATTTGTGTTTATCCCCAAAAAGTACTTCTCTATCTTGTCAATTATCTAAACATTTCTAAGTTATTCCCATTTCTGTTGCTACAATAAATGTTTACATTAGCAGTGTTAAATCAAGTTAGTTGGAAGCAAGTTAATCCATTTGTGTTTCAGACATCGTGTTACTTCACTCCTA